GGAGAAATAGAAACACTTTACACTGTTGGTGGGAGTATAAATTAGTTCAACCATTATGGAAGACAGTGTGGCAATTCTTCAAGGACCTAGAACTAGAAATACCATTTGACCTAGCAATCCCATTACTAGGTATATGCGCAAAGGATTATAAATCATTCTACTATAAAGACACATGTACACATATGTTTATTGCAGCACTATTTACAATAGCAAAGACTTGGAACCATCCCAAATGCTCATCAATGATGGACTGGATAAATAAAATATGGCACATATAAACCATGGAATACTATGCAGCCATAAAAAAAAGAATGTGATCATGTCCTTTGCAGGGACATGGATGAAGTTGGAAGTCATCATTCTCAGCAAACTAACACAAGAACAGAAAACCGAACACCACATGTTCTCACTCATAAGTGGGAGTTGAACAATGAAAACACATGGACACAGGGAGGGGAACATCACACACCGGGGCCTCTCAGAGGGTGGAGGGCAAGGTGTGGGAGAGCATTAGGGCAAATACCTAACGCATGCAGGGCTTAAAACCTAGATGATGGGTTTATAGGTGCAGCAACCACCATGGCACATGTATACTTATATAACAAACCTGCACATTCTGCACATGTATCCCAGAACTTAAAGTAAGAGAAAAAATCAAAACAAACAAACAAAAAGAAATGCAAATTTTATTGGATCAGGACCTACAGAATCAGAAACACTAGGGATGGAGCCCAATGATGTGTTTTAAAAGCCCTCCATGTGATTCTGATGTCTGCTACATTAGAAAACAACTATTTAAATTATGCTGATGAGTGTAAGCTTTTTGATAACCATCTTGAAGAGCTCCTATTCCAGTGTCTGATTCATGGTAGACTCTCAGTGTTACCCTGAAAATGGAAGATGCACTTAATTTGTAATGCAACAATCTGTGATGTTTACTATTATATTTTAGTGTCTCTCTCTCTCTCTCTCTCTCTATATATATATATATATTTTTTTTTAACTGTCTACTCAGGAATGAATAGTTGTCCTCACAGATTATTCATTTTCTTTTCCTTTGAGACTAGCTTTTCAGCTTTTCATTTAATATGAAAAAGGTCATCTTCAAAGAAAATGGTTGTTTGATGCTTCAGTTATTTAATTCTCTAATGAGTCACTGAGTAGCAGAGTTGGTTCATGCCAATCATTTCTTTCCCATTAAAGAAGGAAAGTTACTTCATTGTCAATAATGATTAGTGAATTTTTCCTCTAGTCTCTACTTCAGTACCATTCAAAACTTCAGTGGCCAAAAATTTGTTGTTTCAGACTTCTAAGTCGGCTTTGAGTCTGCTTAAGCAGCCAATTCATCCAAGGGCTGTGAACCTCTCAGCTTTGCCTAAGGTAATAGATGAAAATGGGGAAAAAAAAATTCACAAAGAAAGTTGAAGTGCAACAGGTTTGGGGAGACAAAGGGACTCAGATTATGATGTGAATTCATATGTTTTATAAACCCAATTATTTCTAATGTGTGAAATCCAGGGAAATTATGTGCTCCAGACTCAGCGAGATTCATGTAGTACAAACCTCTTTTGCATCTTGTCAGGTAAAAGATCCATGTGGTTTGAATAGCATCCTTGCATGTCAGTACATCTAGTCCTTGGGGAAGAGGTTCCTCAGGATAGGGACACCAAACAATGGGTATGTGTTCTCTGGGGATGAGATAGCTGATTCTGGGTTAAAAACTGAAAACCCAGGGATCATTGAGATTTCAGGGAGGCTCCACATGGACCAGCATAGGGAGGTAGGGATGGCCATAGCATGCTGAGAATCTACCAGGAATACAGAGAAATCTGGTAAGGCAGGAAGGAAGTGGACCTGCAGGGGAGCCAGGGGTCTGAATGACCAAAGGACCTCCTTAGGCAGCATTCCTTATTCATATGATTCTAATAGGTAGGTGGGTAGAATAATGCTTCTAGGATAGAATTGGACTGAGTGGTGTTATCCACTACCTGAGCAGCTCTTTTCTGAGTACCTAACCAGACCTATTCAGCTTTGTCCTCCTCAGACAGAGGCCCAGATAAAGGGGAGAATTCGTCCCTAGAGCCCAGGTTCTGGGAGGCAGTCTATAAAAATTTGCATTTTGAAGTCCACAAACATTGACTGAATGCCCTCCTGGTGCCAAGCACCATGGAGATGCTAGGGATCAAGTAATTAGAGAGTTCCTGCCCTCAGGGAACTCCAGGCCTTATGAAGGTGATAGATATTTAAACACCTTATTATAATTCAGTCGAATGGTATCTTTAGGGACAGAAAGTTATGCAAGAATATAAATCAATTTTTTTCTGCCTGAAGAAGTCAGCTAAGTTTTCTTAGAAATGATAATATAGGTAGGCCAGGTAGTGAAGCGGGGCAAGGACATGGCAGGTTAAAGGATGAATGTTTAAAGAAGTATGGTGCTCTCAGGAAATGGCAAGCTGTCTGTTTCTGCAGCAGCATAAGATACCTGAGGGTGAGTGGTAGAGTTGAAGTTGGGCAGATGGCATGGAATCAGATCATCAAGGACCTGCAGGGAGCAGAGCTTTAGTCAGAGGAGTCACATGATCAGATTTCTTTTAGAAAGATACATTCTAGCTCTTTTATGGAGGGTGGATTCCAGAGAACAGAGGCCAGACTCAGAGTAGAACCTTGTAAAAGTACGCTTGAAGCATGATGCAGGCCTAACTCAGGGCTATTGCTAAGCTGATGGAGAAGCCAGGTTGACTTTTTGAAGCTTGAATTTGTTATGTTGACTCCCTTTTTAGTCCTATCTCCACCTCTTTGGGGGTTTCTGTGGTTGACGCTCTTGTAGTTGCTCTTTATAGAGGGAACAGAGAGAAGGTGAGCCAGCATTCTCTCATATTACATGGGCCTTTTTCCCTCTCAGAGATTTTACCAAACTTTCCTCACAGTGTTAAACTAAACCCAATTACTAATATAAAGAATTTCATGTTAATATATTAGTAAATAAATTCGGTCTTTTGATACCATGTTTTGTGGCAGGTAATTATAACTGAAGTGGCCTACATCAAATGTATTAATTCATTCATGAAACTTTCATTGATATTTGCAATATGAAGGCACTGTTGGCTTCACTGAAGGGTAACAAAAAAGCACTGAATATCATCCTCTGGCAGAAATTGCCAGGCCTGCTTTATTCTCTATAGCCACAAGCCAACGAACTTTCTCAAAGCATTTGGTTCATTTATTCACTAATCCTTCAATTTATAAGTCAACAAATATTTGTTCAGCATTTACTATGTGAAGGCAAATTAATGGCATGAGGTGAGGAACACATTAGAGGTGGAGTAAAAATAGAACAGAAAGTTCAAGGTGGACTTCAAAGTTCTCAGAAATTCCCAAATTTAAAAATACTCTCAAGACTTTGGGCAACTTAATCTTTAATACTCTGACGACTTTTGTTATTAAAGAGCGTCTTGGTTTAAGAAGTAAAGTTTTAGCTTCTTTGATAACCTAGGAATCACATCTCTGTTTTCATGTTTCTCTGATAGTTACTTGAAACTTTGATCCCTGGACTCTGCAATGTGGAGCCATATTCACAGGTCACAGTAATTTTGAAAGATGAGCAAAGAAAGTATTTTCCATTATCTATCTGTAGGTTTTTCTATTGCTTAAAAAGAGACTAAATAGCATGGTTTTCTAGGCAAGTGTGATAGAAAATGTGGAGCCTAACTCCCCTCCGTCATCCTTTTAAAGGCCAATCTATGAATTTGTTTGAAAATTGTCCAATTTCAGAATTTAGCTAACTAGTTGTTTAAATGACTAAGGGTCATCAGAGAGCATAGAAGTATTATTTGCCCAGGCATATTTTGACCTCTTCTTTGACAGCCCTTCTTTTCATTGAAGAAACATTCTTTCTCATTCTAGTCTTCTGCTCTTTTGTTGAAAGAGAACTTGCTGGGAGTTAGGTGACTTGACTTCTGATCTCAATTTTGTGGCTAACTAGTTGTAGGACTTTAGACCAGAGGTTGTCAAACTATAGCCTGCAGGCCAAATCTTGACCACCATCTGTTTGGGAAAATAAAGTTTTATTGGCGCACAGCTATGACTATTTGTTTACTCATTGTTTACGAATGCTTTCTTGCTATAACACTGAGATGAATACTTCTGATAATACCATATGGCCCACAGAACTTCCAATATTTACTGCCTGGCCCTTTACAGAAAAGATTTACCAACCTCATCTTCAGGCAAGTCACTCTATCACTTGAGCCTCATCTTTCCCATCTGTAAAATTTGGGAGTTGGACTAGGTTGTTCCCAGGGCTCATGTCCTCTTTACATTGTTACTCTAGAACTCTTCTTACAGAGCAGTGTCATCTCACGTCAGTCATTTTATACTGGGACGTAAACCTATTCATATTTTTATTCATTCAATTTACTAAGCTCCTAATACCAGAGTGGAACACGAAGTCTAAGAGCATCCCTGCCTTTGAGAAACTTATAATCTGGTTAGAAGATATAGCTACAAGGTTTCAAACTTAAATTAAAATAGAAGGTAATAAGGGATAACATACCAAATTAAGTGATAATGTTTAAAAGATTTTAGAGGAGAAATATCTTTATGGACTGACATGATTAGGGAAATATCTGTAGGGGAGAGTGAGATTTTATATTTTTTTACACTCATCTTCATAGCCCTGTAAAATACTGGATTCAGTGTCCCTGTAAAGCAGTAGTTTTCAAATTTTAGGATGCATAAAAATCACCTGAATTAGTAGGAAAAAAAATGCAAATTCCTTACATCCGGCTTTCAAGATTCCAAGTAGGTCTGGGGTACTGCTTATAAATGAGTATTTTCACAAACACCCTGGATAATTCTGATACACATTCTGATAAGTTGTTAAATATATTACTACCCAGGAATTTATGATGTTTGGTAGAGTTTTTGTGAACTGTGGTTATGTGTGACTAGAAGGGACTCCATTGTCCATGGAGTAAGTACTTCAATGACTCTCTTTTTAGGAAATGTGAGATCTCTTCGGCCAAGAAGAACAACCTGAGGACTCTATTTCTGGAAGTAATTGAACTCCTTTAGTAAGTCCAGAGGAGAAATCTGAGATCGGTACGTCTTTTGTATCTATGATAGCTAAGGATACATCACCTGAAAGATTCACTGTACTTACTACTTCCTTCAGCATTTGACTCTTGGTCCTTGTGAGCTCCTTGTTCCTGCAAAGTTGGCTGGGGTCACCATAGTCAATCAAAAAAATCCATCAATGACAGAGATAGGGAATCTCCAATCTCTATCCCAAGACATGTTCTCGATGACTTGAGCACATCAACAGAAGCTCTGGATGCAGAAGAGAGATTTTATCTATGGGAAAATGACCCTCTGAAAAGAAGTGTGAGATCATCAAAAAAGCCATTGGAGGGGACACCTGGGAGTCATGTGGCTGAGGTTTCACAAATCCCACCATGCTTCCAGTCCAGAGGAGAAATCTAGACCCACTTCCTGAAAAGTATAGGCATCATAAGAAGGCCACAAGGACAAAAAGAAAGAGGAAGGAGAAAATGGAGGCCCAGTGCCCCCCTGTTCCTCCAACACCTTCAACACCACCACAAAGTGAAGAAGATGAGGCTGTAGACAAAAAGCCAACTCTACTCAGTGCCCAGGAAGATAATCCTGACCTTCTCCATGAAGTAGGGGTGGCAAAATCCTGGGATTGTCACTCTTCCATAGGAAAAATAATGACAGCTCTTCACCTGGAGTAGGAAGAATTGGGGGTAAGGAGCTTGAGAAACAAACTGGGATCATTGGTCCCAGACAGAACATACAAGAATTGGTGGCTTGGAACGGTGGCTCATGCCTGTAATGCCAGCACTTTGGGAGGCCGAGGCGGGTAGATCACGAGGTCAGGAGATTGAGACCATCCAGGCTAACATGGTGAAACTCTGTCTCTACTAAAAATACAAAAAATTAGCCGGGCGTGGTGGCAGGCGCCTGTAGTGCCAGCTACTCAGGAGGCTGAGGCAGGAGAATTGCTTAAACCCGGGAGGCAGAGCTTGCAGTGAGCTGAGACTGCGCCACTGCACTCCAGCCTGGGTGACAGAGCAAGACTCCATCTCAAAAAAAAAAAGGCTTGGCTCAGAGAGTCATGTCCTTTTTCCTTTTTGCACATGGTTGTTGTCTTTGAGGGCTTTGAACTTATTTATTTTACTTACAGGACAGATTACAGTGTCTGCAGGAAGAGGGTTCCAGTGTGATGCATCAGGAATGTCAGATCGAGTCCTGAGAGCTCTCAGTGGCTCAGAAGCCCAGGCCCTCTTCTCCTGCAGTGACATCCTCGGCATAACCACCATTCTGCTCTAGCAGTTTCCTAAGCTGTGTCTGCCAGACCTTCTCAAGGTCTAGAAGCAGAAGGTGCCCAGAAGAAAGGGTAACAACCAGGCTGAGGCAGGAGGTGATGCTGAGGTCCTGAGACCTGGCCAGGCAAAATCAGCGCTGAGCCTCAGCAAAACGTGTAGCCACTTGAAATTGATACAACTTTCCTTTGTGTTTAGTTTTATGGTTCTCTCTGTATGTCATTGTTCCTCTTAGTTGAGTTTTTGCCTGTCAAAGAGATAGAGAACTGCTTTTATGCTGAGATCCTCAAGCCAAAACCCACAGTAAAAGCAAAGTAAAACTTTGAGGCTTTCAACTTTTACTCCGTGGTGGAATTACTTCCTACTTCCTTCCCATTAGGTTGAAGGTGTGATTCTCTCTGGAGAAAGTTGTTCCCAAAATTCATGTGTATTTCACTCAGGATTGAAGTGATACAATTTCATCATTTTCGGTAGTGTTTCCTGATACCAGCAACCAAATGGAGACCTTTCATGTCCAACTTCTTTCATTTTCTCTTACCTTCGACTACAGATTCATTTTGTATTCTTCTTCACTATTTTGTTGAAATTCTGCCACCTTTTTTTTTTTTTTTTTTTTTTTGAGACAGAGTCTCACTCTGTTGCCCAGGCTGGAGTACAGTGTATGATCTTGGCTGACTGCAAGCTCCGCCTCGCAGGTTCAAGCAATTCTCCTGCCTCAGCCTCCTGAGTAGCTGGGACTACAGGTGAGTGCCACCACACCCAGCTAATTTTTGTACTTTTAGTAGAAAGGGGTTTTCACCATGTTGGCCAGAATGGTCTCTATCTCTTGACCTCAGGATCTGCCCGCCTCGGCCTCCCAAAGTGCTGGGATTACAGGCGTGAGCCACCGCGCCCGGCCAATTCTGCCACTGTCTAACTTGAATAAGCCTCAGGATGTCCTGGTTGCTACACAGCTATCACTTCCCCCATCTCTAACCAATATTTGGTTTCTTTTTTGTCACTTGGTAGTAAGGTACCTAGCTCTCCCTTCTGAAATGTACCTTTGGTGTTCTGTAGCCATCTGTATTGAAAGCATAGTCACACAAGGTAATGTTTCTTCCTTGTCATTCTGTAGTCAGACTTTCACAGAATCCTGAGTTCTTCTGAGAATCCTAAAGAAGGTAAGTTCTTTAAGAAAAGTTCAAGATCATTTCATTTCCCTCTTGTTCTGGTATGCTAGGTTAATCCTTTTCCCAGGATGTAAGAGTTTAAATTAATCTTACACTTTCTTCTGAGGGAGTATGTTTAAGAAGAGTTGAGGAGTTTCCCTGTAGCTTTATTACTTGTTGTTATTTCCTAATTGTCCCAGTTTCCCAATTCATGTAAGAATAATAAATAAAAATGCATATATAAATAAATGTGCAAAGTATCTGCATAAGAAAGAAATAATATAACTTATTTTCTTTTTTCCTTAGCACTGACTCTGATGATTACTATACGAAAATTGGAAATGTGACCAGTATGTTGGTTCTTTTCATGCCTGGAACAAGGCTTTGTACTGTTGGAAGAATACAGGTTTCAGATAAGGAAAGATCTACACAAGCACTTAGTTTTGAAACTTTTCTGCTCCCATGTGTCTTGACTCCTTACTCACAACCAAGAGAAGGGGAGTTTACATCTCCTCTGATGCGTTTGTAAAGGAGAAAGTATATGTTTCCAGGTTTCAAAGGTTGTATTACTGTAGTTGGGAAGGGAATAGAATGAGTTGCAAGAGTGGTGGCAAATATCCTCAAGGATGCTTTGGAGGTAACAGGTTACAACCACATTTGAAGAAATTTCATGGTTTGGTGAGGATTTCAAATTAGAATTAGAGAAATTTTGCAAAATGTCATAGTACTTAGAGTAAAATAGGACACTTTTCTAAAGTCAGTCATACTTTGATACTTTTAGTTGTCTAAAAAGTGGTTGGTTTCTCATTTTAAACAGTATTGAGTTTTCTTGAGTTAATTGACCATGATAAATGGGTTTTATTACATAAAATTTCAAATTATCTAAACTATATCTATATTTACATACATATTTTCTCCATTTAATACAAGAAGCACACTCCCAGGTGAGGCATAATGTATGAAAGTCCTGAGTCATACAGCCTGTTATTAAAAGCTCACCAGAATGTAGATATTAGTGCTGCTATTATATTTTATTATTGTTATTATTTATCATAATAAGTGTTTCAGATTAGTTGTTCTACCATAGAAAAACTATTAGTGGGAACCTAGTTAGCCATATCTTCAGCCCCATCTACAATACTGATTTTCACATAAAGGTTATTTGCTACAAATTTGGTACATAGCTTTAAAATAAGGAAAGATCTATATAAGTGCTTAGTTTTGAAATTTTTCTGCTCTGTGTCTTGACCTTTTACTCAAACAAGAGAAAGGGTGTTTATATCTCCTCTGATGCAGTTTGTAAATGGGAAAGTGTATGTTTCTGTGTTTCAAATTTTGTGTTGCTGTCTTTATGGTTTGAATTACTAAACATGATTTATGACTTAATAAAGCTGCTTTTGAAAAATATACTTAGAAAAATAGTGTAGCTGTTTCAAAGTAAAAACAAATTTAAAAATAAAACTTACTACTATTGATGATAGAGCTTATGAGTCATTTAAAAAAATTGTTTCCCCTGCAAAGCAGATAAACAGTTTTGCACATGTATTATAAACAGACGTAATTGACAAGTATAGAAGTGATCGTATTTAATGTATTTAGTTCTCTTTTTTATCCCCAGGGGAACTTACAGAACTTGGTAAGTATCAGATGTTGCTGTACTCATTGCTACAGGCTGATTAAGCTGAGATTAAACAGGTCAATAAAACTTTTCCAGCAATTTTTCTAGATCACTTGTTTCATCTGAAAAAGAATTATAATACAAGTTTTTAAACCAAATTATCGAACTACTAGTTTTGTGCTTTTGTCTTGTAAATGCGATTTTATGCTCTGGGTTCTTGTCCTAACGTTCAGTATCAAAACATTTCCTACGGACCATTTTGTTTTTGTCAACTTATTCTCATATTAGTGTCCAAATTCCAACTAATGCCTTTATTACTCACTGGGAAAATTTTAACATGAAAAAACCCTGACTAATGTAAAATTATACCCCCCAAATAAACCAATAAAAAGGGTTTACTTATTACCTGAATTTTGACAGAAATAGTAGAAAGTATCTAGTCCTTTCCTCTTATTTATCAGAGGAACCTGAAGCAGAGAAATTGAATAGCTCTCTCAAAGTGACATAGTTGGTTAGTGACAAAGCTAAAACAAATAATAGCTACCATTAGATTAAATCTTGTGCTTATTCACACATCAGTCATCTTCAGGCAATCTGCATAGGGTTGGAATGATAGTTTAAGTTCAGAAAGGTCACAGGACTGGCAAGTCTTGATGCAGAATCCAAACCTAGGTCTGTTAGTCTCTGAAGCCAATACTTGTTACATTGTACCTCTCAGTATTATAATATAAAATGCCTGTTGCAAGTCTAACTGTAATATTAAGAATAAATAATTTCTCTTATTTGCCAAAATTTAGATTTTAGCTTTAGCACATATACAATAAAAAGAGTCTAATTTTTAAAAAGTCCAATTAAAAAGACTATTTCTTTAGGTAGCATTTCTGTATTGAGCTGTAAATAATAAAATAGAACCTAAGGGATTGAAAAAAGAAAACTTCAGTGTAATATAAATAAACTTTTAATCATTACAACCAATTAAATTGAGACAATTACTTAACTGAAACGTGATTAAGGAAAAAGGAATAGCACATAATCAAAGCAGGGTCTTTGACTTGACACGGTCACAAGACAAGGCACAACAAAGTCGAATTAGGCTCCATGGAAAGCTAATGGATTTAAAGGCATTTCTAAACTGTTTTCAGGTGAAGAGTTTGAGACTTGGGTAGCAGAAAGACAGGCTCTTCACCATAACCCAGTGACCCTTGAAATGAGTAAGTATACTCCTGCTAATGAACTCCAGGCTTTACATAGGAAATTTGAATTTTCTCACGCTTCAAAACATTCTTTTCATTCTGATTTGACAAGGCCTTTTTCAAGACAGAAGAAAAGAACAACAGAACTGGAAGATTCAAACCACTTGGCTGTGTGATCAAGGGATTTGGTTCTTCATTTTTGCAGATTCAAGACACGAGGACAAGTGCTGTTGTATGTGGGAGAGCAGATTGGTGCAGATTTCTTGAACTATTTTCTGACAGCTATAAAGAATTATAGCACTGCCCCCAGCCTGGAACCTTTGTGATGGACTGTCTCAGACACAGATATAGTTATCACTCTCCCGGGTCACAGTGCTCATCTAGAGAAGGGCTTTGACTATGATCCTTGGTTCTCCCATCCCACAACACCTTGTGCCTTAGAGTTAGTCCCGCAGTTGGTGACAGGGCCATGATGGCTGTTTAAATAGGAGTTTCAATACTCTACATAAAAAGATAAACTTCAAAACAAATGACAACATTCTTTACACAAATTGCATAATTTTAAATGAATTCAACATTCTGCGATTCTATTACAAATGACTTCTAACGTGAACTTCACTTGTTTTCTAGTTGTAATCACTATTCTGATTTTAGAATGCCTGTGAAACTACTCAGTACTGGATCCTTATGATGGTAACTCTTCTGGTGGCTGACACAAAAGATCCATTCACAGAAGAGTGATGAAACAGCAATTGAGATTTTTAATAACTACTGTGAGAAATATTCCTTTATACTTCTCCTTTTATTTGGAAGAAATAATTAAAATGCCTTGAAAAGTTTTTAAAAACACACACACATTTCAACCAGTATGTAGTACCAAAACTTCTTGGCCAGCGATGCTCAAAAATAATTTCTGGCTAAAATTTATATACAAACAATAATAGATTAAAAAAAAGAATAGTAATCATGTAACCTCTTCTCTGACAGCTACCATTCACCTTAATTTAAAATGTAGTCTCATTTTAAAGTTAAAATTATGAAGTAAAGGTCTAAATCCAATTATATAAATTATCTAACCCTAAATATTTTGCAATTACATAATAAGTACTTGTGAAATATCTGCCTAAGTCTGGACTTAAAAAACAGATATTAGCTCCTAGTTTTGCCATTTACTACTCTGTAACTTTGGCTATTTATTTAAACTCGTTTATCTCTAGTTTCCTCCTCTAAAAAAAGGAGGGTATTAACATATCAGGTGGTTTTTCTGAGGATTGGATGAGATAATATCTCTGAAAGAACCTAGTGACTGTTTTATAGTAGAAAGCTTTTGCCATTATAATGTCTATTGAATTCCTTTAAA